ATAGATCATTGGAACAAAAGAGAAAGTCTTGAAATTAACCCATACATATAAGGTCAATTTTTGACAAAGGTGTAGAGGCAATTCAATGGAGAAAGAATAGGTTTTTTTTTCCAACAAATAGTGATGGATAATTGAATATCCATATACAAAAGAGAAATAAACCTAGATCTTTAACTTGTCCTATATAAGATTTAATTCAAAATGGATCACAGACCTAAACATAAAACCTAAAACTATAAAATTTTTAGAGGAAAACATAGGAGAAAATCTTTGTGACTTTTGGTTAGGCAAAGATTTCTTAGACAGACCACCCAGAGCCCAATCATTTTACAAAAAGAATTAGACTTCATCAAAATTTAGAACATCTGCTTTTTGAAAGACACTATTGATAAGAGTAGAAAGACAAAACACAGAGTGGGAGAAAATATTTGCAAACCCTTATTTGATAAAAGACTTATATTCCAAATATATAAAGAACTATTAAAACTCAAGAAAAGAAACAACCCAATTAAAAAATGGCCAAAAGGTTTAAACAAATGCTCCACCAAAGAAGATATCTGGATGGCAAATAAGCAAATGAAAAGTTGCTGAACATCATTGGGAAAATACACAATACAACTATAATGAGATATCAGTACATACTTACTAGAATGTAAAAAAATAAAACAAAACAAAAACCAAACTATACCAAGAGGAGCCATTGGAACTTGCAAACATTGCTGGTGGGAATGCAAAAATGTACAGCTTCTTAGGAAAGAGTTTTCCAGTTGCTTATAAAGTCAAACATACCATATGAGCCAACAGTTCCACTTTCAGGTAGATGCACAAAAACCTGATCACAAATGTTTATAGCAGTTTTACTCATAATCATTCCAAACTAGAAACAATATAAATGTCTCACAACTGGTGATGAAGTGATGAACTGTGGTACATCTATATGAGGGGACACTACTCAGCAAAGAAAAAAGGAGTGAATTACTGATACGCTCAACATGGGTGAATCTCAAAAACACCATGCTCATTGAAAGAAGCCAGACACAAAGGCATGTCTACAATATAATTCAATTTACATAAAATGTTAGAAAATACAAACTAATTTATAAATTTAGAGACAGAAAGAAGACAAGTAGTTGTCTGGTGCTGAGATGGAAGGAGGGACAGACTAAAATGGAGCATGAGGAAAATTTGGGTGTGATAGACATATTCTGTGGCTTGATTACAGGACTTTATATTTTTGTCAAAACTCAATTTGTGTGTTGGATAACTGTATTCTATTTGGGAAAGATAGAAAATGTCCCTGCTTTGTAAAAAAATATTCAAATGGAAAAAGACAAAGCTATGCAGTATGGGACACCTTATATGAAGGAAAAGTATTGCAAGGGCTGTGGACATACTCCAAGAATTAGCAATTCTCTTTTTGGGTATAAGTTTATTCGTATATATCTTCCAACAACCTTTTAGAATCCTATTATCCCTTCATTAAGTTTTTTTTTTTAATGTGAAAATTTAAAATCTTTAGGAAAAGTTGAAGTCACAAAGCAGGGCTTACCAGCTTGGTGTGTAATCATTCTTTATGTGCTCCAGGTGAAAACAGCTCTTGAGGTATGGATAACGACCTTCCTCTTCCCACATGTACATGTGCAGATAGTTATCCATGGATGTGGTGAGGACATGGAGAGAATCCTTCAAAGGATAGCCAGGAGTGAGTGGCTCAGAGTCAAAGTCAGAGCAATGAGCAGGTGGAGGAGAAAGATCATACGTACCACCCATAAGTTACAGATGGTCAGCTCGTGGTCATCAAATTGTTGCAGCAGGAGGCCATTGATGGTGAAGAGAAACAGGTATGGCCCACTCTCAAAGACAATCATATTTCCATCACTGACTCCCATCCAAATAGGGCTCTCCATATGCACTGGCAACAGGAAACTTGCGATCTGAAGTGCTGTTTTCATGTAAAACACATACACGCACATACAGGCAAATTTGGGTTGTTTTGTCCAAAAAATATCCTTACCCTGAATAAAAAATATACTCCCTACTTCCATGAGACTTGGAAAGTCCAGTGAGGAAAATGAAGGATAGGCCAGTGGCCTGAAAGTACATGTCACTGATCATAGTGATGGGTGCTATGACACAGGAACAGAGGGCTGAGGAAAACAAATAATAGCTCAGGCATTGAGGGAAGGGACAATGGAATCCAGG